GGGGAAGGGAAGGGGGGGGGGGGGGGGGGTCCCGAGGGTGGGGGATGGGCGTGGACCGTTCATGCTGGGGCTGCCGAGGACCCAAGATACCCAGTGAAGGGGCTCAGGATGGGGTCGTGCTTCCCAGACCCAGGAGACCGGGCCAGCACCTCACGGCTCCCACCCTGCCTCGCCCCCGTGTGGGGGCGGCACCCGGGAGCCCGGGTCGGGAGTCCTGGGAAACGGCCGCGTTCTCCTCAGCGCCAGCCAGTGCGCACTTACTTCTCGGGAGCCGGTGACCGACGTGCTGTAGACGCGCAGGCCGCTCATTCTGCAGGCGGAGGACTGTGCGGATAGACGGAGGCACAGGTAGCGGCAGCTGCACTGCCGGGAGACGACGCCGCCGTGCTTGGGAGCGGTTTCCTTCCTGCTCTGCCCGCGAGTCACCGCGTTCTCCTCAGCGCCAGCCAGTGCGCACTTACTTCTCGGGAGCCGGTGACCGACGTGCTGTAGACGCGCAGGCCGCTCATTCTGCAGGCGGAGGACTGTGCGGATAGACGGAGGCACAGGTAGCGGCAGCTGCACTGCCGGGAGACGACGCCGCCGTGCTTGGGAGCGGTTTCCTTCCTGCTCTGCCCGCGAGTCACCCCGCGCGGGACCAATGGGTGGCGCGGGAAGGCAGGGCGGGGCCTGCGCGACACCGCCCCCTGCGCTGGAGATACCCTCCCTTCCCCCAGGGTCGGCCTGCTGCTGGCGGGGCGCCGTGACGGCGAGGACCCGGTCCTGTCCTCCGCAGCCACGCTGTTCACACGGTCAGCCCTTCCCAGACCTGAGGCGCACGCACCGGGCGAGGCTGGGAGGGACCAGGTGGCAGAAAGGCCCGGAAGGAGGGGGCGAGGGCTTAGCAAAGGCCTCCCAGTTCTCCCAGATTCTGGCACACCCGGCTACCCACCCCCCAGTGCTGAGCTTGGTCTCCATCTATAGCTCCTCTTGGGGCTTTGGAAGGCCTGTGTAACTTCCAAACCTGAAGTTCCTGGATAGGAAGTAAAACACAACAGGGCGGCCCTGCTAGCTTTTCCCTACAGCTCAATCCAGGCAGGTTTAGACAAGGACGGTGGCCGGCAGCAAGGACCACACCCTCCAGGAACCAGGAGACCTAGAGGCTAGTAGCTCTGGCGAAGGTTAAAGCCTGGACTCCCCAGCCGTGGCTCAGGCTGGCCCCCAACTCCACCTTGCAGTGGCACTCCACAGCTGTTACTATTTCCAGCAATAATTCAGGAAGTTCGGAGGCAGCACACTAGGCGCAACCAGCCCCGCTTCGGAGACTCGGCTATTTGTGACTGGACATAAAACCCCTTAGGGTTCAGACGGGCGATAGCCCCTGAAGACAGCCCAGCTCTGAGGCACATAGTGCCTGCTTTGCCGAGAACCACTTCCTCACAGAAACCCAGCAGCCACTGACTTCCTGAGAAGCCTGCTGAAACTGTCCAGTGTCAGGCGGCTCTATGACTCAGGGGGGCTTTGCCAAACAGAAAGAAGCGTGGGCAGAATGACAGAGAAGCAGAAGTGGTAAAGATATGGACATAAAGCTGCACCTGCCAGAAGTCCCTCCTTGCTGCTGCCTGGGGAACTTCAACACCCAGCTTATGGCTTCAAAAAACCAAAGGAAGGGGTGAGGTAGGAGAATACTAGGGGGATGGTAGTGATGGAAGGCCGTGGAAAACCAAGCATCTGTTAAATATTTTATTCTGTAATCAAAACAGGCAATACAAACCAGTTGACATAACAAATATTCATATAAATAACTGCTTATAAACTTTACAAGAAAAAATACCCCTGAGCATGGTGGCTGGGCTCCCAACACAGGGTGGAGACCAACCAGACAGCTCTGCTTTAAGAGGCAGGAGCCCAGAGGCTGAGGGAGTGGCCAGCCAGGCGGGGCTGCTCTGAATGGAAGGGATAAGTCACTCCACAAATAAAACACAAACTTGTAAAAACACTTAAGAAGGAGGCTCATTCAGGCCCCAGTGAGGTCCGGGATGCTGCCAACAGCCCAAAGTCCTGCGGCTGTCTCTAGGCTCTGGAACAGCTTTGCTCCTCATATCCACATGGCCCCTGCTTGGCCTGGCTCCAGATTTAGAGGTCTGGGGCTGGCCCAACAACCAAATGCTAACAACTATAAGATACTCCCTAAGCCAGGGAGCAAAAAAACCCAGAAAGCAGAGGGTCCAAAACCCCCAGAATAAACAAAAATACTTTCAAAACACTGAAAGCTGTATCTTAAAAGTTGACCCATACTGGGTATTCTGAACTCTCATGGAGACCAGAGGAGAAAAGGGAAAGAGCTCCCCCAAACATGACGGGCACAAATCAAGGGGGCCTGACACAGGTCTGAGGCCTGGGGAAAGGGGATGAGCAGCTTGACAGTTATTCTGTGGCCGTTGGGGGTAAAATTCTACCCAGGCTCAGAACCACAGAGAATTTGTACTCAAGGCCCAAGAAAGGGGTAACTGGAAGGCCTGAAACAAAGGAGGACACTATGTTGACCACATGGCCAGGACTCTAGGGACACGGCACCTGAGGAGTGGATCTCCAGTAAAGATGGCACAGCAAAAAAAAAAAAAAAAAAAAAAAAAAAAAAAAAAAAAAAAAAAAAAAAAAAAAAAAAAAAAAAAAAAAAAAAAAAAGGATGGTATGGCAGATTAAGGATCCCTAACTGTAATCTCTAGGCACCTAATCCTAGTGGCTACTCTGCTAAGGAACAGACCAACCCGAGGCTTCTGTGAAAACGACAGCCCTGAGGAAGAAGCAGTGGGCCTGGGATGAGAAAATCCCAAAAGCCAGCTCAGTTTCCAGAAAGAGTGGCACATGAGGCCTGAAAATTCTCAAATGGTCCTTACTACTTATCTCAGCCTTTCCAGGCCTCTCTAATGAGTTCTGGGATCAGTAGGACCAACATATGGAGTAGGAACAGATGTGGACCCATCCTGGAAGATGGAGAAGGGAGGTAAGAGCTTGCCTGCCTTCAATGTCACCCAAACTGGGAACAGTGAAACTCATCAGGTGAACCCAAAGAAGTTAGTAACTCACACTCAAAAGGTAAATTACGGTAAGAGGACAAACATAACTAAATAAGACAAAGCCAGTGTAGGGCAGGGCAGGTACACTCCTCTCAACAGTCCTTGGTCCTCAGATGTAGGCTCTTCCCTCTCCACCCAAACACTCTCTGGGAATAGCAGCAGACAGAAGGCAAGACTGGCAGGGCTGCAATTTGCTGGCCAGGCTCCTAGCAATTCAGGTCCTCCTAAGGGGAATATAGCCTGTCTACCCCCAGCACTCCTCACTGTGTGGCACAGTTTTCTCCCATGTCCTGGGCATATCTGTCTGACATGGTGGTCCTTAAGTCCTCAATGTCCCGACGCAGCTGTTGAACCTCTTCTAGTTTCCTCCTGATCACATCTGGCTTCTGCAAATCTGGCTGAATCCCTCCTGGGTGCTGTGAGGCTGAAGAGAGAACATTTCAAGTGTCAGTCAGCTGATATAGACATTTTCTCGAATGTGTGGTGCTGAGGCTGCAACCCAGGGCTTCAACTCAGGCATGCTAGGTCGACTGCTAAGCTATACCACAGCCCTAGGGCTATTTTTTAAAAAAACACTGAGAATAACTTGCTACCTTAGGTTTGTACTTCATGAGAATACCCTTATAAGGATGCCTGTTTGCAAAACACATATGGAAGGCCTACTTTGTGAAACATAAATTCCTAGAGGGCAGTGACTAGGCCTATATATCTTTTTAGTCACATTACAATCAGGCAAGTTCGGTGCCTTGAGAATAAAGGCCCCTCTCTCAAGGGTCCCAGACTGGCCCGAGGACTCACAGTGAATGCCCAGGAGCAGGGACAGGTTGGGGTCACGGCCCTGGGCTCTCTGGGTCACAATGCTGCAGACGGCCTGCAGATCTTGAAGGCAACTGGCCAACTCTTGGTGCAGCTCAAATGCCAGCTGGACTGTGTCTGGTGAAGATGGGGACCTTTGTTGAGCCAGGCGCAGGTGTTCCTGCAGTGTTAGATTCTTCTCAATCAGGTCCTGGTTCTGCACTGAGAGCTGAACAGATAAAGGGGTAAGTATACTCACCCAGGCCCAGGGAGAAGTATATGTACATGTGTGTGTTGTGGGGGTGGGTTGCAGATGTGTGGAGATAGGGTGTGAATCACAGGCAATGCCCTCCCGAACAGGCTTAGTGCCCTAGCCTCCCCACCAATTCTAGGCCTGCTTCCTCCTGAGGATAGGATGGGACCACAGGGATCCAGCAGTGGAGAGGAAGCTGCTCTTCAGCAGGCTCTGAGTATCAGCCTCCAGGTTTCTGTCCAGGAACCAGAGATGCCCCCGCCTGTAGGAACTCTATCTGAAGTCAGTCCCTCAGCCAACTCTGTTAGCCAGGCTATTAGAGATAGCCTAACGTGAACAGTGAAATCTGAGGAGACACTGGTTTCAATCTCTCTCTGCCACCCTGACCAAAGTGGCCACCAGCCAGCCTGATCACAGGCTGTCAGAAGAATAAAGTCTTCAGTCATCTTGAACCCTTCTGCACAAACCCGATGAAACTGTGGCTACACGAGGACAAAAGAAAGAGAATAACTTCCCACATCTACAAAGCACCGCTTGGCAATTATGGCCACTCTAAGGCCTAGGGACTTTAACATAAAGGATGACGCCATGTTATCCTTCCTCTCATAGGTTCAAAAAGCACAGCAGAGACCTCTCCCATACTGGCACTTTTGTGGGAGAAGGGAGGAGAGAGGGTACACAAAAATCAGGTTTGTAGAGGCTGTACCAAGAGGCCTGGCCAATGTTGCTTACCTCTTTCACAGCGGTACGCAGCTGCTGCAAAGCCATCTGCCTCCGCTGGGCCTCCTCTCTCAGAGCCTGGCTTGTTCCTTCTTCTTGAGTCATTTCCTGCTCTAGGCTCTGAATTCCACAGCAAGGTGTTGTGGAGAACACATCAACAGTAATAAGTCTGGTTCAGACCATATCACTTCTGGCCTCGACTATACAGTATAGTGTAGCCCAACCCACACACTACTGCTAAGAAATTATTTTACAACAGTAGCGTTGACCTATGGCATGTGTGCCGTAGCCGGCTGGCTATTATCTTTGAAAGCTTTAAACGATTTGCCATCACTATTTTAGAAGATCCCTGATCTATATACAACTTCTCATTTAAATTCTTTGATAGCCTCTGACCACAGAGCTAATTGAGGCCAGCTTCTCAGCGGGGCATTCAGAGCCACTCAATTCCTGTTTACTTGACTAACCCTATCTCATTTCACCTTCCACATCGCCTCCGCTCCAGCCACACTGAATTACTGGTCTTTATCCCCCAAGGATTCACCTCTAAAATCTTTGCTTGCTCTTTCTTCCTTTTGTTCAGACTGCTCTCTCCTGTTCTGCCTGTGACTCTAGAAAGCTCCAAGGCCCACCTAAACCTTCTTCAATCTGCAAATCAGGTCCAGGTAATCCTAACCCGTCACTCACACTCTACCTCAGCTCATGATTATATCTGCTTAATACTCAAGGTTTTGTTTTTGTTATTTGGTACTGGAGATCGAACTCGGGTTCTTACGCTTGTGAGACAGGCGGCAGAACCACTGAGCCAAATCCCTGGCCCTATATCTGCTTAATATTCGATGGACTATACACAGGCCTTTCTTCTCCATTTGAACACAACTTTCTTGAAAGCAGAGAATGACCCATTCAGTTGAGTTCAGTATTTGTTCAGCATCTCCTATGTCAGGTACTATGGATACTGAAAAGAACACCAAACAATACCAGTCTGTGAGGAGCTAAGAGTCTGATGCTATATATGAAATGTTTTGATAGATGGAAAGGAGAAGGGCACACTTACAGGCATCTCGTGTGTGTGTGTGTGTGTGTGGTGTGTTTGTGTGTGTGTGTATGTGGTGGTCAAAGTTACAGGGAGGGAAATACTTCAAAGTTTTTTTTATCATCTTATCTATTATTCCAAAACTTCTCCCAATTATAAAACTAATTTGAACAAATAATGTATAAAATTTTCTAGTTTTTTACTGCATATGTGAAAGTGGTCCCATAAGATACTGTCTAGTGATGCTTAGTTTTTGAAAGTATATTGTATATTTGCACAATGATGAAATCACCTAACATTTTTCTAAAAAAAAAAAAAAAAGTATGCTGATTAGGTGGTAGATGAGACGCTGTTTCATGCCTCCATGTTCTTCCTATTGGAATTCCAGTGCCATACTTCCCAGTGCCTCTTCTTTGCCTGGCTAACTCCTCACCCTTCAAGGGTCAGGAGCTCCCAAGATCCCTTTCCTTGCCTGCCCTTCCCCACACTGATTCTTCTGTGCTCACCCTCAGGGTGATGTGAGCACTGCTTTCACAGCACTGTGGTAAAGTTCCCCTCATGTTTGTCCTACCCACAAGACTGTAGAGTCTGACGCACTGACCAAATTTCATTCTTCCTGTATGCCTAATGCTAAGCAAGTTGCATAGCAGAGAACAGAAAGAAGAGTTTCTGTCATTATGTCCTATCCTCCAAAGCCCAATGACTCATAGCTCACCTGAACTTGTAAGTGCAACTGATCCATCTTCTGCTGCTGCTTCTCCACAATCTGAAAGGCAAATTAGCAAAGAAGGCTCCACATGCAAGGCTGATGTTGAGGTCAGAACACAAGGGCTCTACCAGGATCTGTTGTTTGGGCATCAGCTCTTCTAGCTACAGCCCGTTAATTGGGAGAATAGGGTAAAGACTAGTTAGCTCTACCTAGAAAAATTTTACACAACTCCTGATCTTGATTATCCAGCTTCACACTCCTATGACTCCTGTGCTCCAATTACACAGAGGTTCCCACAGGAATGCAGTATAGACCCATGACCACTACTGGAAGAAGGAGGAACCCTCACCCTAACAACTGCAAGCCAGTGGAATTAATTTTATACACAGCCAGTATGTACTGTGGTTCTTTGGGAATGAGATGGCTAAAAATTCAGTTTAATGAAGCCTGCCCTATGCAGGGTTATAACAATTGTTGGTCAGAACTATGGTCACAATGATTATCCAAGGAGAGACCCTAAATAGCCCTCTCTTCCTTAGGTGTTCTCTGAACCATTTTTGGGTCTTCTTTGATGATGTGCACAGTGTCACCAACAGGCCACAGACTGCCTCTTCTCTGATAACTGAGAAAACCAGGCTACTTTACTGATTGAACTCTGCCTAGTTTAAGTATGGACTTGAGCCATGACTGAAGTGTACCAAAGCTTGGTTCATCTAGTCTGGATGTTGAGAGGGATGTTTCCCTAAAATTTTTTTGGTGGTGGTGTATTAAGTACCCAACTAAGGAATGAATTCCATGCTAGAATTGTTTGTATGTCAGATTCATTTGTAACCTGACAAAGTGAGTCTTACACAGTACACCTGTGAAAGTTCACAACTTGAATGTTTGTTAAGTTGGGGACTTGCTGTACTGAATTGAACCCATGGCCTTTGCACTGAGGTACATCCCAAGCCATTTTTTAAATTTTTATTTTGAGACAAGGTCTCACTAAATCACTAAGTTGCCCATGTGAGGCTTGAAATTGTAATCCTCCTGCCTCAGCTTCTGCCACGATCAGCTCCTTCCTAACTTTGGCCTAAATTTCTGATGAATACTGTTTGCCTGTTATAAGCTGAATTTCTAAAATGCAAGCTTAGGGCTGCAGATTAGCTCAGTGGCACCATGCCTGCCTTGCATGCACAAGGCCCAGAGTTTGATCCCCCCAATACTGGAAAAAAAAAAGCAAGCTTATTAGGCAGGGGAAACTTAGAAAAGATAAAAAAAAACTATTGGTAGCAGATCCTAGGTAGCCCAAAGCCAGCAGTTCATGGTTCCTTTTAAATAACACAATTGTCTCATTCATTCATTCATTCATTCATTCCTAGAGATTGAACCTGGAGCCTTGTATGTGCCAGGCAAGCACTTCACTACTGAGCTACACTCTCAGATCTTTTAAAATTTTATTTTGAGACAGTCTCACCAAGTTGCCCAGGCTGTCCTTGAATTTGTAATCTTCCTGGCTCAGCCTTCCAAGTCACTGGGATTACTGATGTGGGTTAACAATGCCCACATCTGGGCTGCACAATCTTTCCTCCCAGCCTAAACCTCATAGTTTAGACACCCTTAAGTCACCTTTCGGAGGGAATCACATTCCTTCTGCAGAGGTTCCATTTCCACTTTGGGATCTTCTCCACCAGCTTCCTCCACAGACTGCTGATCTTGCAGGCTGAAAGACAGTGGCCTCCTCAAGAACTCTGAAGTCAAAAATAACATGGCTTTGACTCCTGATTCTACTATTTATTGCATGTCTGGGACAAGACACTCATTTAGGCCCCTCTAGGTTGTAGATGAGGATGTTGTAAGTCTTTTGTACTGCAGGGTGAGCTGTAAGAAGCTACTCAGTACATGTTGGTTGTCTGTCCTATGAGAAGAATCTACCAATGTGCCATCAATACTCTATTTGCTAAAGGCTCTTGTTTTGTTTTGATATGTAAAAAATATTCATAGGGCCAGGGATTTAGCTCAGTGGTTCTGCTGCCTATTTTGCAATCACAAGGACCTGAGTTTGATCCTTCAGTACCAAAATAAATAAATAAATAAAATAAAAATATTCATTCATCACATATATCCAGATGATAAAAGCTTCATACACACACACAGAGACACATACACACACACAGACACACACACAGACACACACACACTGCAGGAATTTTGGAAAATACAACAGAATTCTTTTTCTTGGCATGATTACCCTGGGGCAGAGGCAACTTTGTCCCCTAACTCTGCTTCTGGTTCCAATCAATAGCCTCCTCCAGTGGGTCCCTCACTATCACTTCCATCATGGCCTATATGCTGAGATAAACAATAGGGTCACTGTGGTTGAATATGGGATGAGAAATCCATCTATCCATTAGGAACTAGAGGCTGCTGAGACAGCCATCATTTTCAGAAGCTGCTATTAATATGAAGAAACTCCCAAGACACTCTGAAAGCACATTATGGCATGTTGTTTTCTTCTCAGAAACTGTCCTGAAATTGAAAGTAATTCTAGGGCTGAGGAGAAACAGATGCTTCTTGCAGCCTATAGCATAAAAGGTTCAAAATGTGGATAACCCCAGACTTCAGTACTAGGATCTATTTTTCAAAATGTATGGATACCCTGTTTCCTAGTTTATAAAGTGTTTTCATTCATCCAATATATAGTACTCAAGGATTATTATATGCCAGGCACTGAGTTAGATCCTCCCAAAAGACAGGTAAGCCCTCACTGAACCACCACACGTACACTCTCCTCTTGCCTACCATTAGCTTTTTTATCATTCACAATCCAAAGAAAATGAAGTTCAAAAATATAAACAGATGCGTACAACCACCTAAAGTCATACAGGTAAGTAAGCGGAGGTAGTGAGGACCAGAACTGAGTTCTCCCCTCACTCCTTCAATCCCACAGGGGTATTTACTTATGTCTATTGGAGGAGAATTCTGCTTCTCTCTGTCTTAGGTTTTCCAGCTGAATCTCCTTCTCTCTGCAGGTTGCCTGGGTCTCCTCCAGCAAACTCTCCAACTCAGTCACTCTCTCTTGGAGCTCTGTGGTCTTCAACTCAGAATCCTTAAGCTAAGAGAGAGGATCTCATGCTTAGATCAATAAGAAACAGAAGACTGAAGACCTCAAAACATTTTTAGTCCATTTTTACACATGTGAATCTAGACATGACTCCTTCAGGATTTTCCTTTTAGGAAATACTTTCAGAATGTGCACAGCAAATAATGAGAAAGTTCTTCTGCCCAGCCACTCCTGCTTTGCCCTAGGTATGCCCAAACACTGCTACTACCTGCTGGCTCTGCTTCTGATGGTCTTCTAGTGTAGGCAGGTCAGCCAGGTAACGCTCCAAGGTCTCAATACGCTGCTGCTTCTCACGATTCTGCTCTGATTCCTTCTGACATTTCTTTTTCAAATTATTGATATGTTTATCACGACCTTTGACCTAGGGAAGGAAATGTTAAGAGTCTGTCTCCATTCATTCCTCTAGGACCCTGAACATCAATTTTTTTCAAAGTGACCATTGTCTCTATCCTGGGGCTATGCACATTGTTGTGCTGCAAGGCAGGAAGTTCCAACAATTTCTGCCATTTGGGATTGAGGCATAAACTGCAGAGTTAATACCCCTGAATTTTCCTGTCAAAAGCAAGGATGAAGGCCTCCAAAGGCAGTTCTTAAAAATTGGTAGTACTGGGCCGGGGATTTAGCTCAGTGGCGCTGCACCTGCCTCTCAAGTGCAAGGTCCTGAGTTCAATCCTTGGTACCAAGAAAAAAACCAAAAACCAAACCAAAACAAAAACTGGTAGCACTTCTGTTTTATAATAATAACTTGTTTTGTAGGTTCTAGAGGTGACTTCTGAGCCATTGGAATTTTCTGAATAGGACCAGTCTTTGTTATGCATAAAGGATCAAAGCCTCTGAGTGAATTTATCCTAAAGTAGCACTCAAGAATGGGGTTGGTCATCAGCAAGATCAACTCATATGAGTAAATCTCTTGCAGGAATAGGAGAAGCAGAGCAAGGGCCTAAATAATGAAACTCCAATAAAAACTCTAGACATTGAAGCTTTGTGGGCTTCTAGAGGGTAAATGTGGATGCGCTGGGAGGGTCCATAATCCTGATTCCCCATGGAGATGGAGCTGCTTTTAGGAGCCTCCCAGACCTCAGCTTACATGTCTTTTCATCTGACCATTCCTGAACTATATCTTTTATAAGACTGTAAACAGACTGGGTAGCTGAGTGGAGAGGATTACTTGAATGGAGGGGTTTGATTCTAGCCTGGGCAACAATCTCAGATCCCGAGCTCAAAAACAACAAATAATTGGGCCAGGGATTTAGCTCAGTGGTTCCGCTGCCCGCAAGTGCAAGGACCTGAGTTCCACCCCTGTATCAAAACAAACCCCCCCCAAAAAAACCCAAATAATCAAACTATAATCATAAGTATAGTGTCTTCTGGAGTTCTGAAAAGGGGTCTAGAGAATTACTGAAAGGGTCACAGGAATACTGTATTTGTAAGTTGGTCAGTACAGGTGGCCTGGGGATCTCAGAACCTGCAGTTGTCATCTGAAGTAAGTGCCATTTTGTTGGGAGACAATGCCCTTAAACTTGTGTGGGGTCCAGTGTTAATTTCAGGTGGTCTGCCTCCAAATTGAATTTCAGCAGTATACACAACTTCCCTGCAGCCATATAGGAAAGTTCAGGTGTGTTAATTCTGCATGTCCTGGTGAGAAAGGTAATAAAACTCTTGCCTACAAACCACATACTTTAAAGCCAAGCAGTCATGTGAAAGGGCTTAGGAGACTTTAAACTCTGACAGGAAGGGCTAGATCCATTTTGCTAAATATCATAAAACATAGCCTGATGCTTAGCAAAGAGCAGGCATTCAATTCAAGCTCAGCCTGGGCAACTTAGCAAGACTGTCTCAAAGTAAAAAAATAAAATAAAAAGGGCTACAGATGTAGTTCAGTGCAAAGGCCCTGGGTTTAACTGCAGGTAACACACACACAAAACACATGCGCACACATGTACACAAAGGCAAAAAGTTGGAGATTTCTTCTTTCACTTATGAACAAGAAAGTTGGAGGAGCAAAGAAAACAGAAACAATGAGGCCAATAACTGATGTCAAAGAAGTGTACAAACTTATATCCATACAAAGACATGCAGTACTAAGAATGACCTCTGAAATTCAGCCCAAAAGCTTTATCCCAGGTCTAATGTGTACCCTTCAATGTGATTCTGACATTCAATACATATCAGAATCACCTGGGAAACCTGCTGAAAATGCTCAAAACCCATTTTTGATTTTAAAAAAGTAAAACTGACCACCACAGATATTTCTCTTCCAAAATGTATCTACCAAATGACAGGAAGGAAATACAATACTAATCTAAAAAAAAAAGATGAAAAGTATTGGGTCTTTCTGAACTTTAATCCTGAGTTTTCATTAAAAGAAATTTGCTTTCATGGTTTTCTTTCTTAATTCAGCCTCTGGAGTAGTTGGGATTACAGGTGTGAGCCACAGCATCTGGCCCAAATGATACCTCCCCTCACCCTACCATTCTGGATAGCTGGGGACCAAACCCAGGGCTTTTTATTTTGAAACAGGGTCTTGCTAAAGTACTAAACTGCCTAAGCTGGGCTTGAACTTGTAATCCTCCTACCTCAGCCTCCTGAGGAGCTGGAATTACATGCCTAACCCAAGTAATTCTTTTGTGTGTGTGTGTGTGTGTGTGTGGGTGTGTGTGTGTGCACGTGCACGCTGCGGATCGAATGAACTTGTGATGCAGGTGTGGTGCCACTGAGCTAAATCCTTGCCCTAAACCAAGAAATTCTTAAACACACTGAAGTGTGAGAAGTCAGGCTGTGTGGCACGTATATAGTCCCAGCTATTCCAAAGATTGAGGCAGAGGATTGCTAAGCCCAAGAGTTTGAGACCAGTCTGGGAAATACGGCAAGACTATGCCTTAAAAAAAAAATTGTAGCCAGGCATGGTGGTGCACGCCTGTAATCCCAGCACTTGGGAGGCTGAGGCATGAAGATCACTGTGAGTTCAAGACCAGCCTGGGCTACAAAGTGAGTTCCAGGTCAGTCTCAAGTACATAGTGAGACCCTGTCTCTAAA